AAGACTTATTCAAACACTTAACTCATTCGAAAAACACATTTTTCTTGTCGTGTTTCCACTTGATTGAACAAAAATGTTCTCCATTTATCTACTAACACAGTGCAAGAATGCTTGAACAGAACATCGCTTAAAACCCTATAGGTTAAGCACATTTTTCTTGAGGAATTAGAAAACTTTAGTATAAGAACTCTCGATTCTCTTATTCTAGCACTGCTAGAATGTTTGAACCTTATGGTTCTACAACTTTTTTTTTTCATTGAAACATTGAGATAGGTGGAATTGGTACTTGAACCACACGTGATCATTATAATATGATTTGTAAGTGTTATAAAACCGAGTCTACCTAACCAAAATCAAGATTCTAACCAACCAAATAAAGATCAAAAACATGAAAGAACAACACACGATCTTTTACTGTGGTTCACTTGTTCAGGATTGAACAAGCTACGTCCACGTTGAGCTCCAGAATATGGAGGCTCGCTGCACTATTATTACTGTCACCAAAAATTACAGATCACACACTCAATCTTCCCTTCAAACCCTCACTTACAAGAATCATGATAGCACCACTCCTATACACATAAATCTATAATCCTAAAGAGAATTCTAATCCTGATTCTCTACCCACAAAGAAACACAACTTTTGGGGTGGATCTACGACTGATTTACACAAGAGTAAACTGTTCTACAAGGAACCACAACAAAGAGTTTACAGATTGAGATATTCGATTGAAAGGGACTGTACAATTTGGAAAGCTTCAGCTTTCATATGGTTGACTAGCATGTGAGTCTTCAGTCGTTGGATTGCTTGGAGATCAAAGGCCATAAATGCAAGACAGATTAGCTGAAACGGCAGCGTATCAATAAAGCCCAATATGACACTGTTTTAACAGCTTCACATGTTAACAATCTCCACCTTGAAGTCGTTATTCCAAACAGCAAACCATTAGTGCAGCAAGCTTCTCACATACTCATTCTCAGCTTTATTTAGATTAGTTGATGTGCAATAAGTTCAAGCAATGCTTGAACTTTGCAGGAATCACCACTTTTGTCCCCATATCAGCTGGATTTTCTTCAATTGGTATTTTCAGCAGGTTCAACTTCCCTTTTGAGATTTGGTTTCACACAAAATGATACTTCATGTCCACATGCTTCGTCCTCTCATGATATACAGGGTTCTTGCTTAGGTGAATGGCACTTTGACTGTCAAAATGCAAAGTCACAAGTCCATCCATCAAACTTGCTTCTTTCAAGATCCCTTGCAACCATATAGCCTCCTTAAAAGCATCAACCACTGCCATATACTCAGCTTCTGTTGTGGATAGTGCAACTAATGGTTGCAATTGTGATTTTCAACTAATGCAGTTGCCTCCTAAAGTGAAGTAGTAGGCTATAGTGGACTTCCTTGAGTCTTGATCACCTATAAAATCAGAGTCTACATACCCAACAAGATCAAGTGTAGTGCTTCTCTTGTAAAAATCTAATCCAATATGCACTGTAATACACTGTATAGCTAGTAACTCTTTGAAAAATATATGATAAAATCCATTAAATAACTTTTATAAACATATATACATAATGTAAAATCCGAAAATTCTAATTTTAATTCGTATAAATATATACACAAAATACTGATATACATTAGTAAGCACAAGGTAATCTTGAACAGTGCCGCCAAACTCCTGCCATTTCTTGACGTCCCACCCGATTGCAAATCATCTAGTACCTGCAAAACAGTAAAATAACGGAGTGAGCACTAATTGCTCAGTAAGTAAACCAAACTGCACGACTGTTTTTCCTCCGTTACTCATGTTCTGATTTTCCTTTTCTCACTTATTCTTTGCTAATATTATTCATTCCTTTCTGTTATTCTTCATTCTTTTCTGATACTCTAATTTGCTACTTACCAATGTGCAAAGACAATGAATAAAACTGTACATCGTCGAGCACATAAAAATACTGAATCATGTAAGTAGCATAATACATATGCAGAATAATAAAACTTTCCTGAGAAAACAACTTTCTTTTCTTTTCTGTTTCTGTTTCTCTTATGTTGTATCTCTTTCTTTTTTTCTCTGTTTCTGTTTCGTTTTTCTTTTCTTTCTTCTTTCTAGTTTGCCGATCGAACTAGGTTGATGCATGAATTTGGAACCCTGGCCATGTGAGTGAGTACAATCCTCATCTACATGCACTACTCACAGACTGTACAAGTAATGTATCTCTCTGATGTGGCCGCTCGCTCGTGGCGGCGTGCATGTAGGTATACTCTACTGGGTACAGTCCTCATCCACATACACTACTCACAGACTATACAAATACTATATCTCTCTGCTGATGCCGCTCGCTCGTGGCGGCGTGTATGTGGGCATCTCTATCACTCACGGGTTCCCCATCACAAAAACCTTATATCATAGTATAGAATAGAAAGAGATACTATGCACATTTCAACATGAATTTCCAAGCTATGGAAATTGTACACTTGCATTCTTTAAAAAACATAAACTTCCATATATGAACATATCATTTCATCATGGCCATTTTGTGGATGCATAATAAATTCATAGAAATATATCATCCTTAGGCTTGTTTATACATGCACAAGCTCATACTTAGGTGATATATAACATATTACACATAGCCTCCATGGTCATTCATTACATCAAATATATATGTTCATACAATCATTAAATAATCATAAATACCTCTTATTCAAACATGCTTCACAACCCTTTAAGCATCATTTTCATACTTGAAATCAATTATAGATTATTAGACTACAAATAAACTAATAAAGTGGAAGTACTTTTGAGATAGTCATTCTGCACATGTCATATACAAGAAGGCATATCTTGAGTTATACACCTCCGATTGCTATGATCTTGGTCTCTTTTTAAAGCTTAGAGAAAGGGCTACAACTTTTATGTTTATGACTCAACCCAGTTTGATAGCTAAGATGCCCAAAAATCACTCAGGAGGTCACGGATTTGACAGGGCAACCTTGGTAACATGCCTACTTTGAGGCTTTTCCATGCCTATTTACCTCCACTTACTCCCTAACCTTTCCTAACCATTCTCCCCAGTGAAAACAGGTTAAAAGATCAATAATATACATTCAAACTTCAAGTCTTGCCTTTCTCTAACATTTTCCTCATTAGGGTTTATCCAACTCATGAATGCACTTTCTCTTTGGATTTTCATCAAACACTTCATATGCACATGCAACTACCTTGTTGGCTACACTTCCACAACTCTCTAATTCAACCAAATTGTGAGCCAAAAACTCACTAATTATACCATCAAACCTGTCCATTTTCAATAATTTTCTTCACTTCAAAAATCTCAACACCAAATCTTCCACAACTTCACCAAATCTTCATATAACCATACACTACTTCTCATGGCTAGAATTAATACATCAATAAACATAAAAAACAGCCCACAATTCTCTTATACCATCACATAAAAACATGCAAAAATTCATTCAACACAAGTTTTGCTCAAATTAAGGTTCAAATTAGGTTTACTTACCTTGAATATGTGAGAACATTTCCCTTTTGCTCTAAATCTCTTCCTCTTGGACCTAGATCATATAAAAACCATAAAAATTTAAAACTTTAAAGTTTAATCACATTCCTTTTGCTAGAATCTTACCTTAGGATGCTTTAGGATTGAAAATCTCCAAAAATCCAAACCAAATCCTATGATTTTCCTTTGAAATTTAGTGAAGGAAATTAAGAGAAAATGGGGTATAGGTGGTGTTAACAAGGGTTGAAGTATGTTAGGGTTTCTTCAAATAAAGCCTTATATCAAATAATATATGCATGTATTCCCATTTTGCCCTTGCACTTTCGCTAAAATTCTATCTATGTCCCTTAGTCAATTACCATAATGCCCTCATTTTTATTGCATTCTCCATGAAATTTTATCTCTTTTCACTCCCCACAATTTCAACTAATTTTGAGTGAAAAGACCATTTTACCCTTAATGAACTTTTAGGGAATTTTCTTCACATTTGTCTAAGGTAACTTCAAAGAAATCCAACGAAGGATATTAGGGCATAAGTAAAATTATGTATCTTGATGTGGGTGTTATATGCACTGTACTATTAATATATCTAAGTAGCCATTTTAATGCAACCCAATGTTCTATTCCTGATTTTGACATAAACCTATCTAATAATGATATGACAAATGACAAATCAGGTCTGGTACTTATCATGGCATACATCATAGATCCTATGGCACTTGAGTAAGGAATATTTTCCATTTTTAACACTTCAACATTTGTTTTTAGGCACTGCAATTTACTGAAGGTAAAGTGACCAACTAAGGGTATGTTTACAGGTTTAGATTCAGCCATTCCAAACCTAGAAGTCAGTTTTTGTAGGTATGGCAGCTTCTCGTTTCTATCAATTATCATCCCCCAAATCCTTTTTGCAGAACCTAAATCTTTCATGTTAAATCAGCACTTAGTTTTGCTTTTAGTTCATCTATGTGTGACTTAGATTTGTATATTAATAACATATCATCTACGTACAACAGCAGGTATATAGGCATGTTGTTTATGCAAGCAAAATAGAAACAATTATCATATTCACTTCTAGTAAACCCAACTCCTATTATGAACAAGTCAAATCTCTTATACCACTGCCTAGGGGATTTTTTAAGGCCATAAAGAGACTCATGCAATAGGAAAACATGTTCAGGCAGGTTCCTATCCCTAAACCCAATAGGTTGACTCATAAATATATTTTCTTCCAATTCACCATGCAAAAATGTTGTCTTAACATCCAATTGTTTCAATTCTAAATCATAATAAGTCACAATTGATAGCATTAGCCTAATAGTTTTAAACTTAACTACAGGTGAAAAGATTTCAGTAAAGTCAATACTTGCCCTCTGTGTGAAGCCCTTAGCCATAAGTCTGGCTTTGTATCTTGGCGGGTCTGAGCTTGTTATGCTTTCCTTTAACTTGTAAAGCCATTTGCACTCTACCAGTTTCTAGTCAGTTTGTTTTGGGACCAAGGACCATGTCTTATTCAGCTTCAAAGACTTCATTTCTTCCTTGATGGCTGAAAGCCATTTATCTCTGTCTCTAGAACTCATGGCTTCTTCATAGGTTTCAGGCTCAACGTTTTGGATCTCTGCACTAACAACCAAGGCTGTGTAGATTAGGTCAGCATAGCTGAACCTGGTAGGGGGCCTTATCTCCCTCCTAACTCTATCTCTTGCTATCTGATATTCTGCCAAGTTGTCATTTTGGGCTTCTTCAATGTTTTCAGACAATTCCCCTTCTTCATCTTGGTCCTCATTGTTAGGCAGTGGGTAATTTTCTAGTTTAGCAGCTTCTGGTTGTTCAAGGTGCTCAACCAAGCTTGCTGGCTCCACCTCAAATTGAGATTTCTCAGCTTAATCAGACCTCTCAGAATCACTCATTGACTTACCTGCATTGTTATTAGAAAGCTTGTAAGCAAACATGATCTCATTAAAGACTACATCACGACTGATTATTATCTTGACCCCTGGAGCATCCCTTTCCTATAACCTATAACCTTTGGTCCCTTCTTGATATCCTAAGAATACACATTTTAGGGACCTAGGCTCTAACTTCCCATCTCGGGTGTGTGCATAAGCAGCACACCCAAACACCTTTAAATGGCTCAGATTTGGCCTCCTCCCTGACCATATCTCTTTAGGGCACTTAAACTATATTGCACTTCAAGGACTCCTATTGATTAGATAAGCTGCAGTGGTTAAGGCTTCACCCTAGAAGGTTTTGGGCAAACCAGTAGTGAATAAGAGACATCTAACCCTTTCTAGAAGTGTTCTATTCATTCTCTCTGCAACCCCATTTTGTTGTGGGGTTCCCTTAACTATCCTATGCCTTAATACTCCCTGATTGCTACAGTAAGTGAACTTTAGGTTGCAGAACTCCAACCCATTATCTGTCTTAAAAGCCTCTGCCTATTTGGTTTTCTACCAAGATTTTCCAGCCTTTGAACTTAGTCAAGGCTTCATCCTTAGTCTTGAGAAGGTATACCTATACCTTCCTGCTATAATCGTCTACAATAGAGAGGAAATATGTGTTCCCTCCATGTGACTTGACACTTTCTGGACCCCAAAGGTCTGCATGCACATAGTCTAAACAATTTACAACAAGATGAGTTCCTTTTTGGAAACTCATCCTGTGCTATTTACCAAGAACACATGTCTCACAAAAATTTAAATCAGAAACAAAATCATTACCAAAATAGCCCTGTTGTTTAAGTGCATTCGTGCCATTTTGGCCTATGTGGCCCAGTCTCAAATGTCATTTCTCTGTAGCAGACATGTTAGTAGACAGTAAAGCAGTATTGAAAACATCAGGATAATAGTGTCCACATAAGATATACAGACCATTCTTTTTAACACCCTTAAGCAAAACATTACCATTCTTGTACACTTCTAGGTTGGGCTTTATAAGAACAGCCAGATTCATCTAATGTTCCTAGTGAAATCAAATTTTGCTTAAGCTCGGGTATATATCTAACCCTAGTTAGTAATATTACCTTACCATTGTTTAGTTTAATGGCTATATCACCCATACCTTGGACCTCATAGGAATGGTTGTTTCCCATGAACACTGTTTCTTGTTCACCGATTTTAAGTCTTTGAAACCAATTTCTGTTTGGACTCATATGGAAAGTACAACCAAAATCTAACGCCTACTCATTAACCCTAGCAGTATTTGAAATAGTAAGTGCTTTAGAGATTTCAATGTTACTGCTTGTGCTAGCTAGGTTGCTCTCAGTACTGGTTTGTTTGTGCTTTTTAATCCATTCATAACAGTTTTTCTTAAGATGTCCTGGTTTATTACAAAAGAAGAACTTTCTAGATTCTCCCTTAGGTTTCTCATTCCCCTTACCTTTCTTTCTGGTTTTAGTGCCTAAGTTACTTTGAGAATTCTTTTTAGCTTCTTTATTATACTGCCCAATATCACACCTACCTTTACCAAACAGATTACTACCATTTCTTTTCTGAATTTTTAGTTCTAGTTCCCTCGATTTTAAGCCGAAAACTATCCAATCCACACTAGGGACTGTGCCACTATATTATAAGGCATTCTTTACAACTAGATACTCTTCTGGCTGGGAGTTTAACAGAATCATGGCAAGACCAGAGTCTCCTAGTTCTTGGTCAGTACCTTTTAGAGTTAGGCTCATCTTTAGAAATTCATCCAAGTTTTCATCTAAACATTTAGCTATGTCCATTTTATATGAGAACAATGCACCTTTTAAGAAAGCTAAATTAGGTGCTGACTGAAGAGCATATAAAGATTCGAGTTTACCTTAGAGAGTGATTGGAGATTCCAAGCCATCCACATTCTGCAGCACGGTGTTAGACAGGTTCATGATAATCGAATTATACGCTTCTTCATCTACTTCTACCTTCTTCTTCAGCTTTTCTTCAGGCCATTTGGTGGTGTCCTTTTCCAGAGCAATTCCCACCTTATTGTGTGATAAGAAGCCTTTATCTTATTTTTCCAGGTGTTAAAATCAATATTCCCATCATATTGGGAGATTTCCAGGCGCGTGATGCTCATGGTTTGGGTTCAGAAGCAAACCCTAAAGAATCAAGATTTTGATGATGGACTCGACTCACTGAGATTTTGCAAATTCTTGTTGTGTTTGCAACCCTAAGACTCTAGGAACTACTTAATTGAAAAAGCCCCAATTTTTTTTCAAACCCTAGAAAATTTCCCAAATCAAGAAAACCCTAGAATGTAAAATTTGAGGAACCCTAAACTCAGCTTTGATACCATTGTTATAAAACCGAGTCTACCTAACCAAAATCAAGATTCTAACCAACCAAACAAAGATCAAAAACAGGAAAGAACAACACACGATCTTTTACCGTGGTTCACTTGTTCAGGATTGAACAAGCTACGTCCACATTGAGCTCCAAAATATGGAGGCTCGCTGCACTATTATTACTGTCACCAAAGATTACAGATCACACACTCAATCTTCCCTTCAAACCCTCACTTACAAGAATCGCGATAGCACCACTCCTATACACGTAAATCTATAATCGTAAAGAGAATTCTAATCCTGATTCTCTACCCACAAAGAAACACAACTTTTGGGGTGGATATGCGACTGATTTACACAAGAGTAAATTGTTCTACAAGGAACCACAACAGAGAGTTTACAGATTGAGATATTCGTTTGAAAGGGACTGTACAATTTGGAAAGCTTTAGCTTTTATATGGTTGACCAGCATGTGAGTCTTCAGCCATTGGATTGCTTGGAGATCAAAGGCCAGAAATGCAAGACAAGTTAGCTGAAACGGCAGCGTATCAATAAAGCCCAATACAACACAGTTTTAACGGCTTCACATATTAACAGTAAGATTTTGAAATATGAAATTATCTAGTTTTACTTGGTTTCTTTTCAAATTTCTTGATTTTTATCCCTATATGGTTTTTCCCAATATATATTTTTTTTTTTTATCACTAGGAGTGTTCGGGCCAGCTTGCGTGTACCTCAACTAATATTTCGAGACTCTGAAAGTTCGACCGAATAATTCTTAAGTGGTCATCCCTATTAGCAATGGTGGGACTCGAACTCAAGAGCATGAGGATCTTTTTCCCAATATGTTAGAGATTGAGTCTTCTAGGATTTTCTTCCATCGTTGGAGGTTGATTTTATTTTAATTTTTTTTTTTTTCTCTCCTTTGTTTGAGTTGTCAAAATAAAGGTGTTAAAGACAAGAACAATTTTTTATTTTTATTTTTTTGGGGGGGGGTATAAATTAACTGACTATATATGGTACATGAAATAAATTCATTTATAAAAATTAAATATTTTAAATTTTAAAACAAACAATAAACCCCTAATTTTTTTTTTTTTTTTTTTTCATAGTAAGATCATTCCATGAGTATAAAGTTGACTTAGGTAAATTACCAAATATGTGAGGATCATATGTAGCTCGGAATAAGTTTAATAGTAGATTAAAAAAAAAAAAAAAAAATTGTTCTCCTCCTAGATAGACATGTTAAAATTCACATTTTTTTCCCCGACTATATTATAGTTAGAGAAAATATGTTCCCATATCATTTTATCGCATAATTCAATTAAGGATTTTTGTTAATTATAGAAAAATTAAATAGCAAAATATATATATATATATATATATTGAAAATGCAAAGGTACTTGTTGAATCATAAAATATAAATACCAAAAATTAGATATGTGAATTTAATGCTTCATGGAACATATATACATATATGTATACAATGAGGCAAATATTTGAATTAATAATTATTTATTTATTATGGTGATTTGATTTAAATTATTGATATAAATTAACACTAGTGATTCATTATAATCTAATTATTTTAAAAAGGGAAATCATAGGTAGTCGTTTTTAATACTAATTATTAATTTTTTATGATTTAATTACCTTAAACCATTGTTAAATGTTTAAAATACAAAAAAAAAAAAAAAAAAATGTCAAAATGTATACAGTCACATCTTTTAAAACTTAATTAAATAGTCCTCTATTACACTGTCGATTCTAAATATATTTCAGATTTCAAATCCAAGCCAGGCCCATGACTTAACTCTACTCTAAACAGCCCAGTATTATTGTGGTTACTATCTTTAACTATTGGCCCAATTTTAACTTCCATTGCTCTTTCTAAATCGATCAATTATGATTTTTATTTATTTATTTAGATACATTCACTCGTTATTTAAGATATACAAAATACAAATCAATCAAACTTTTCATGCTTCAACTGATTTTCATCAATTATTCTTTCCAAGCGCAAGAAACGATTAAAATAGGGAATAAATACATAGAACTATTGGGATGGGGGCGGGCCTAGGATCCCATTCCCTGATCTCAATTCCCACCCCCATACCTAGCCCAACCTCAATTGGTAAGACGCGGCAGGGCGGGGATTGCACAATCCTTGGGGTTGGGGAGTTTTCAAATTTCAATGGACCATCCCTGGCCCCAACTTTGCCTTTTCGAGGATTATCCGTCCCATTTGGGTCGGGTTAGGGGAAACGCCTATCCCTATATAGCAATGAGTAAATTATTTTTTTTGCTTAATTTTTAAACAAGTTAATTATATTTACCGATACACCCATTTTGTAAATAGTATAATTTTAAATGGTTAATTATGGATTCAACTAATTTAAATTTAAGTCTGTTAATTATAATATTTCAATTTTTAGATTGTATCTGATTTAGGTAAATTAGATTGAACATGAGGCATTCAAAGAAGACAATAAATAGTCATACTTATAGTTTTTGGGAAATCGCAATTTCAATTTCATCTGGGTATTATGCATGGATCTTCTTTACCATTAATACAATGGTCATAAGATCATGATTCCATTACTGAGAAATTAATTGTACAAGTTCCCAAATTTGTTTAATAATTTCCCTTTGTAAACGAATCAAATAAAAAATCGGAAACACGTTTACCGCCAACCAATGAGCAGAACTGTAACAATGTAGACGGCCAATATATGAAGAAACCTACAAACAAGTAAAAAATTAACTCAGAATAAACTAAATTCCTGAAAAATTATAGCAACTCTTACGGCATAAAGAATAACCATCAACTCAATTTTGTGATTACCATAATTTTTGTTGAGGTGGTGCACTATTTCCAGGAGGTGAAGCTTTGGGTGGAGGACCTGCAGATGGTCCAGGTGGTCCGGCTGGAGGTTGAAATTTTCCTGAAAATTAAAATAAAAAGTCTGAGAATCCGTTAAAATTTCCAGGGACCTTCCCTGGAAACTGAAATTTCGTAAATTCATTGGAGGAAAGAGTAAAGAAATATAACACAAACCACAGTAAATGAGATTTTCTGGAGGAAGCCGTTCTTTGGCTGGGTTAGGATCAGGATCATAAACTCTCAAGTAGAGTTCTTGACCCAGATACCAATTTTTCAGGAGTTGTGATCTCAAGTTCCACATTCCAGGATTGTCGAGAAACGCATAAACGGCAGTCCATCCTCCAGGATAAACCTGAAAATGTAACATCCTCAATAGTTTTAGCATATGTATAAAAATGTTATCTAAGATTGACATATCAGAAAATCACCTGAGCGGTGGATCGAACCACAGGATTATAAGTATTGTAACTAGAACGAAATTCAGGTCTCCATTCTCCATCCCCAAAGCTAAAACTCAAACGTTAAATTTGATGAGTTAAAAAATCATATCAAGAGAGAATCCTGACGAATGTAATAATATACTTACCCGACCACATAAAATCCAAAACCATCCAAGTGCCAGGAATCAATCACTTGTAATTTATTCTGGAACACAATTTCTATCCACCCTTTGTGGATTCCGGAGGCGACAAAAACCCCACGAACAGGATCGAGAATGGAGGAGTTAACGGGGAATTTGTCGAGTTCATAAACTCCAGAGCCATTGGCAAATTGATCAGCTAGTTTTAATGGAGTGTCTGGTGTAAGATAGGAGACATTGTTGACGGTGTAGAAAGGCGCACCATCAATAAAAGAGCTAGAGCCCCGGAGAAGAAAACTCTGAGATAGTGTCACATTTGATACATTGAAGGTTCCCTGGGGATTTGGCCTTGCAGCTCCTGTGGTCAGGTTCCACCTGATTTCGTAAAAATGTAATTAAATTTTATGACTTGTTTTAAATGTTAAGCAAATTCCTGTACGATTGAATTTACCTGATGGACTTAGCTTGATCCCGTGAGAAATTTATATCAAACGGATCAGGCTTTCCTGGGAGAAGGCCAGTTGCAGGAGTGGTGGAAGTATCATAATGAAGAACTGCTACACCAATAAGACTGTTATTTCCAGTGGCATTGGACATTTTCGGACTAGCCACGATGTAATAATCAGCCGGATCTTGATCTGCTGTAACAAGAACAGAGTAAGACTGGCCAACGTGCACGTCGAGAGAATCCAAGGTAATTTTTTCAGTGTATGATCCTTCTGTTTCAACCAAAACCATTCGATGATTTTGAATCTGGAAATTGAAACTCCACGCTGTCCCCACGTTCAATATCCTGAATCGATAAGTTTTTCCTGCATAACATATGATTAATAATCTGTTCTCCAATTTTAACTATATGGAATCTCTTCTGATTATACCATTTGTGACGGTGAAAGACTCGTGCTGTGTCGCGTTCGGATCCAAATAAGAGCCTTTTCCATTCATTAGCATCACATTTGGTAGGTTTTGGTAAGCCCAAAGCTCATTGTTCATCATAGACTTAATTTCCTGTAACAGTTAAAAACCAAATAAAGCTTTCAGGATCTTAAAACTCTTCTGTATTAATATTTAACTATTCATATAATCAATTTATGTTTCTTCATTTACCTTGTAACTTTTGTTGTACCAATCACCAATGAGAAGATCAAATTCGGCCTCAGGTTTAGGGAAAGGTACAGGGATGACAATGCGATTGTTAACCCGAAATGGGCCATACCCTCCTCCAGCTTTTTGGAAATTGAGAGAGGGGAAGTAAAAGAAGCTCCCAATTTGATCCTTCGTTTGAAACACATAAGTCCAATTTGTTCCAGGTTGAATTGCACAATTTGTTCCTGAAACTCCATCTTGCCATGAGTTTAGTCTCTGTTGTATGCCATTCCTGTAACATTCACCCCTGAATAATCAGGCAAATATTCATTCAGAGAGTTTTGATACTTTCCTGAAACTTTAAATGGGGGTGAGTTTAACATAGCTCATTCTGAATTTATCAAAAACTTTCCTTAAAGTTCCATAAGAACTAGGGTTATTCAGTTCCGGGTACCCTGCACTTTTTGAAGGAATCGAAACCGATGGTTCCTTGCAATTTGGAACCAGAACCGGAACCGACGGTTCCGGTTCCTAGGTACCCAAAACCAGAACCTGTAACAACGGTTCCGGTTCCGGTTCTGGGTACCCTATAAAATTACAATGACCCCCCAAAAGTTTTTAAAATGGCAAAAAAAACCCTTAAACACTTACAAATACCCCCCAACATGGCACTTGTTAACAAAAATAAAATTACAAATTATAAATTCAAAATTCAAAATTACAAACACCATTACTTTATAAAGGTAGATTCTCAAAAGTCAAACCAACTTACTTTAAATATTATGAAATATAAATATAAATGTATTCACATTACTTTTTTTACAAAAGTTTTTATTAACCCCCCAAATATTTAATTTTATTTTATATTAGTCTTGGTTCCTGGTTCCTAGTTCCGGTTCCGATTCCTATACTACCGTACAGTAACGGTTCCAAAAATTTGAAACCGGAACCTACTCATTGACAATTGATTTTGGGTAGAAATCAGAACCAGAACCAAACCCAGGGTATCCATCGGTTCCAGTTCCAACCGATTCTTTTGAACACCCCTAATAAGAACATAAAGCAGCCCAGAATCTGAACACACTAGTAAACTACATTATTAGAATCAGGCCAAAAGTAATAACTGTTAACAGGCGCATCCAAACCATTAGCCCCATACCCACGGTTCGAGGTGACTCGGCCTCTTGGTATCCCCCATAGCGGGATGTTGGTCCATCTAACCAACAATTCCCCCTCAGCACCTGCCCGCAAGGACATGCTCTTTAAGGGATTCAAACCGTGACATACCACTTGTCAGGATCAGGCGTTGCTGATCCCGACATTCACATCTTAATTTATGATTTCATTCAATTGAAAGGAAAGCTTGGCCTAAATATCCTAAGATAGGCTTGAGATGTAAGCAATAGTTTGATTAGCAATAAGAAAGTTCTTCAGCTTTGCTTCATCAACACTTCTGTATGATTACAACTAGAGCTAGAGAGAGACATACCAAGTAAAAAGTAGAGGTTCATCCATGTCGTTAAACACATTGACCTGAACAAGATCGTTGGTTGTGGCATTGATAAGAGGCCCTGGAAACATCCCATTGATGGTAATAACCTGTCAACAAAACAATACAAACATTCATTCATTCCGAAAATCAGAACTACAAAATTTTCAATCCCAACATTAAAAAGCATTGAAATAACATTTTCGGATTATCAAACTCACTGGCTGGTCTGCAAAAGCTGGCCGGATACTCGAGTCGATTGCGACGTGCCACTCCAGGAAAATGTTCTCGCCATTTGCAATTGTCACCAGCACTAGACCGATGACAAAGGCAAAGATAATTAGCCAAGGACGGTTGCTGCCGAAAACTGCCATTTGCATGGAGTTTTTGTGGTGGTTTTTAGCACTGTCTCATGCTAGGAAAACAAGAAATTAATGTTGAGAAACATTGTTATTTATAGCTGTTAAGTCTCTATAATGGTCAAGTACTTGAAGACAAAAAAGACAATAATTTTTTATACAGGGAACTTCAAAATGAGCAGGAAGAGCCAGGTGGATAAAGATGAAGACAAAAAAACTTAGAAATTTGAGGCAACTAAGAGCATTTAGAATAAATAATTCTGAATAATCATTGAAATGTGCTTTGCTTGTTAATTAAGCTTCGGTTTCTCAGCCTAATGACTAATTATGTTCCAATTAAGACATCAAAGCTTCCTTAATTTTGCCTTGTTTATGATCGTAACAATGTATTACTGAATTGTTTGATTTCATTTTCAAATAATATAATATATGCTTGCTTTACATTTTTAATTATATCTAGTTATAAATACCGTGCAATAATGGGAACGCCATCCTTTTAGAACGGACCCTTAAATTATACTCTTTTTGTTTCGAAATAAAAGTCATTTTAAGTAATTGTACACTTTTTAATAAACTAATTTTTTAATGTAAATTTTTTTTCTCTCTCCTACTCCATCTCTTATTCGCTCCTTTCTTGAAAATGCGTAAAAAATGTAATGAAGAAAAAACAATGATGAAAAAGTTGTGTTAAATGACGTTTGAAAGAGAGAGAGAGGAGAGGAGATGTCATAGACAAGACAATGACACTTAATTTGAAAAAAATTTAAACCTTTAAAACGTCATTTATTAAAAAACAAAGGGAGTGTAAACAAATTTTTCAAGGTCAAAAAAAAAAAAAAAAAAAGAACAGCCGTGGACAGTAATAACCGAGGCTGCTAAGTTCATGAATGTTTATATTTTCTTGAATATAAATAAATAGCTTCCCATTATGCGTAAACAAATACCGAAGAAACTATTTTTCGATTAAAAAGTACGGATTTCTACAGTTTATCATAAAGAACAAGAAATTAAATCACAAAGCATGTATGAAAATAAATATGAATGGAGAAAGAACATACAAAAGAAAACTTAGCCTGCAGGTTGATAAATATCTTACCAATATGAAGCCCTACAATATAAGCCATTATCACCGTCAAAAATTAGCCCAAGAAACAACAGTATTTCTTTATTATTGTGTGAACGAAAGACAGATTTTAACGAAAAAAAAAAAATGGTTAAGTTTTTTCTCTTTTTATACTAGTAGAATTTCACCTGACTACTTCTACTACTGGGCACGAGTTTATATTAGAATGGAATTGCTTTTACCATAAAATTAAGAATTCTCAGACAGATACCCTTTTTACTTCAATTTTTTGAATCAGATCATAAATGAGGAAAATATCCTTTAAATGAACTTACATAATATGATGAAGGCAGTACAGTTTTTCTTAATATGAAAATCTGTCTTAACGATCTCAATTCACAAACAATTATCAAATACCGTACCGGCAAGTTTGCTCAATATTATTAATTTTTTTTTAATCTTATTATATGTTTAATAAATACAAATTATTTGAACATCTACATCGTGATCGAAAAACTTTGAAGGGAGAGGAAATTAATCTCTCCTGTTATGGTATGAAGCAATTGATTACACAAATTAAATTAAACATTGCTTGTAAATGGCAATGATCATTCATGAATACGTGTTAACATGAATTATCTCTCAGTCAAGTCTTCCAAATCACAATCCTGTCCAGGGAGCAGGTGCTGGTTCACTACCTGGAGCATCAGAATCACCAAAAATTCCTGTACATAAACAACAAAAGGTTCATTTCAGTAAAGAGGATTTCAAAGTTTAGCCCCTATTAATGAGTAGTCAAAATTAAGAAAGAACTGGAGAAAATAATTTTACTGACCACATAGTAAAAGGTTTCCAGGAGGCGGGCGTTCCTTGGCAGGATTAGGATCATCATTGTGGACTCTGATATAGAGTTCTTGACCCAAGTACCAATTTTTCAGGCTTTGTGATCTTAAATTCCACATTCCAGGGTTGTCCAGGAATGCATAAACTGCTGTCCAGCCTCCAGGGTACACTTGCACGGTTGAACGAACTACCGGATCAAACAGATTGTAAGTTGTTCGAGATTCAGGCGTCCAATCTCCGTTGCCAAACCTGGAATTAGTTCAGGATGTAGTTAATAATCGAGTAGGTATGATGAACAGAATAATATGCAATGAGTTTGTGTTATCAGAAACCAGCAAAAATATCCTGAGAGTGCAACTTACCCAACAACATGGAACCCAAAGCCATCCAAATGCCAGCAGTCAATGACATCCAATTTGTTAATGAACACAAGTTCAATCCATCCTTTGTGAATACCAGTGGAAACAGAAACTCCATATTCAGCTTCAGTATTGACAGAGTTGGTGGGAAACCAATCAAGTTGGTAAACGCCTGACCCGTTGACAAATTGATCTGCAAGTTTCAATGGGGTATCTACGGTTAAATATGAAACATTGTTCACAACATAGCGCCGTTGGCCATTTATCTCTCCCTTTGAGCCTTGTAGAAGGAAGTTTTGTGACAATGTCACATTTGTTACATTGAAGGTTCCTTGTGGATTAGGTCTAGCTGCTCCTGTTGTCAAGTTCCATCTAATCAACAAGAAAATGTTAATGAAAGTTATGAAATGGATATTCATTTATTGACGTATAAGTTTCCTGAAGTAGAATAAAATCTCATTCACCTTACAGATTTGGCTTGATTCATAGAAAATTCGACATCGAATGGATCAGGACCACTCGGGAGAGGGCCACTAACTTGAGAATTGGAATTGGAATTGGAATAGTGCAGAACTCCTACACCTACAAGACTGCTAGAATCAGATGTGTTGAACCATTTAGGACTTGCCACCATGTAATAATCGGCATCATCCTGATCGGCCGTGACAAGAACTGAATACGACTGGCCAACGTGCACATCAAGCGAATCCAATGTGATCTGATTGGTGTAAGACCCTTCTGTTTCAACCAACACCATTTTGTGATTCTGAATCCTAAAGTTGAAACTAAACACACTCCCCACATTTGATATCCTGAACCTGTAAGTCTTTCCTGCATAAAATACAAGTAGAATTCAGTGCATAACTATATATAGCGCAGAGTCAAGTTTGTACAGTAGAATTTTTCTGTACCTTTTGTGACTGTGAAGGACTCATAGGTTTTTGACATTTGGTGTCCATAAGGGCCTTTTCCATTCATCAGCATAACATCAGGGACAGCATTATCGGCTGTAAGTGAAGTGTCCATCATTATTCTGGTTTCCTGTTACAGTTCGCACCAAAAAGGGAATATTTGTTAGCATTGAATTAAGTTTAGCAAAATAATATTATTCATGAATGAATTTTTCGAATTGGTCACCTTGTAGTCATTGGAAAACCAATCACCTATGAGAAGATCAAATTCAGCTTCTGGTTTGGGGAAGGGCACAGCGATAACAATGCGATTATTGACTCGAATAGGCCCAAATCCTCCACCAGCTTTCTGGAAGTTAATGGAGGGGAAGTAGGAATAACTGCCAATCTGATCCTTGACTTGAAATACATAAGTCCAGTTTGTACCAGGTAAAATTGGGCAGTTAGTGCCAGAAACTCCATCCTGCCATGAGTTTAGCCTTTGTTGAATGCCATTCCTGCACCATCAGGATTCCCACTTCTTTATTAAGGGCTTTTTAAAACAATAAATCATCTGAATCCAGAAAAATGAGATCATGGAAATTGTTATAATCTCCTGATGTACATACCATGTGAAGAGTAGAGGCTCATCCAAATTGTTAAAAACATTCACATGGACGAAATCATTTGTTGTGGAATTTATAAGGGGTCCAGGGAACATTCCATTGATGGTTATCACCTGAAAACCAAAAAAAGAAATCCATTATTTCTTCAGCACTGTAAGAAAATGGAAACAAACAATATGTGACTGGTTGCATACAGGTTGATCTACAGACACAGGTTTGATAGTGCTGTCAATGGCTACATTCCATTGTAGAAAGATGTCGATGCCACGAGCGCCTGTGATAAAGATTGTGAGCAATGTTACACACGCAAATAGCCATTTTTGCTTGCTAGAAGAGGCCATTGAAGGAGTAAGTACAATGAGAAGTTGCACTTTCCTTTGGCCTCTTTGTCTCAATGGAATGTGAAAACCAATTAGCTAATATACACATATGCATACTGTAAAGGGTGGACCTGTTCTTGTGAGAAAGTTAAAAAGGATGGAGTTTTCCAAGAAAGTGAGTGAAAAGAAACAATCTACAAAAAGGATCAACAGAAAACTGCTGTACAGCTCCGAATAAACAGCCTAGCAAAATTGGTTTTTCGCTTATCCAAGCCGGCTGATTTCTCTAGAAGATTTACATTAAAGTGGAATTTGCTAAGGCCTTGTTTTGTTCCACCCTTTTGGCACATTTTGAACCTGGCCAAGTCATATATATTTTGGTCACTGTCTTCACTTTCGACAAATGCCATGGTCTGGATCACCTCATTGGGCAGCTAGAATATTCTATTAATATATAAATGAGAAACCATATGCCTTTGTTGCTTTATGGTATAAATTGCTTCCGGGGAACAAGGTAATTCTGACCATTTATGTTAAATTGCACAAAGCCTGGAGGACGTTTGCGTGAAACCCAAAAATATATTCATGCGGGCCTAGGTCAAAGAGTACCAGTATGATACTAATTGTCAAATCTCGGTTCTAACTTGGTAGAAATTGAACAATTTAGGTCAAGTCTGCAAGGATTTGTTTTTAAGCTTCAAACAAACATATTTGACCTAAAACGGCTCTACTCAAACCTTATAAACTAAATTTCAAGTTTATTTGTTAAACGATGTCACAATTCATGTGCCTAAGCCTTGAATTTCAAGTTTATTTGTTAAGCGATGCAGAGGATGTCACCATTCATGCGCCGGAACCTAGTATTTTGAGCAAAATTGAACTGTAAATGCTACTATGTGCTAATTTAAAATTAT